GAAAAAAGCCAAAGTCTATAGGTAACTGGGATTTTTGATGTGGCTTTGAGAGCTTGCTCTGTGCTGGGCATTGTGATAATGCTTTTCCATAACTACTGGTCCACTGAGCCAAGCCTTGAACCCAGGTTTGCCTGACTCTCAAGTTCAGGCTCCTAAAGGAAGTGCTGCTAAGTGGCCTGGTAATTAGAATAGAGGAATAGATATATTCATGAGGTTTGGCCAGGACTAACCATCTCCAAATATTTGAAGGACTGTCCTAGGAAGGTCAAGGAATTACCTAGACCAGTGGGTGAAACTTAGTGGAGGGAAATTTTATCTGAATAGAGGAGTTGCCCTATGATGGTAGGGCTTAACTCGAGAGGTAGTGAGCTGCCCATCATCAGAGGTACCTGGGATGCTTGAGGGAAAGCCCTGTCTTGAGGGAGGTTGGGCCATTCCACCTGCAAGGTCTCTTGACTCTCACTTTGATTAAGTTCAATTTGGTTCAACCATTATTGGGTTCCCAGTGTGTGCCTGCCCTGGGCTAGGTGCTGGGGATGAAGTAGACCTGCTCCTGGCCTTCAAGGGGCTTACAGCATAGTGGGGAAGGCAGCTTGTGTGGTTCTAGTCCTTGCTGACTCTTTTTGGCCATGGAGGCTCTCTCGGGGCTGAGGGTCCTGGGAACATTGCACAAGGGAAAGGCGCTGGCCACTAAGTGAGGGGAGAGGGGGTATGAGTTCAGGCTGAGGGGACCCCAGTGTGTGGTCTCTGAGTCAGCCATCCCCTAAGGCCTGCTCCCTGTGGAATAGAATACCCTCCTCAGAGAAGACCTCTAGGGCTCCTTGGGGCTGGTCCTCAGACAGAGGGCTCTCCGGGCACAGGCCTGCCATCCTCCCCTCTGCCTCTCCCAGCAGGTCCCCCTTCATCTAAGAGGACTGTTACTGGCCTTCATAAAAAAAAACAACAACACACCCACTTCCTCCAAGGTGGTATAACACTATGGAGCTAGAGTCTCCATTCAAGGAGGGCCCGTTGGACCCCCTGCCCAGGCTTTTAACTCAGAATCCCGCTTTGCCTTCTGGCGTGTCCTCAGATACCAGGTGCCCAGGAATAGTCTGCAAGCAGAGAGCCTGCCTCATGCAGACTACAGGTGCGGCTCCATCCCGGCTCCCTATGGGCCTCCCCCTGCCGTCACTAGCCGCCAGGGCCCAGGTGTCGGAGCTGAGGGTGATGGCAACGATAAAGGTGATTGATGATAATCCCAATAAACAGCAGGTGTGGCACCCCAGCTCTTATGTGCTTAACCCATCAAATCACCCACCTAGCCACCCCTCCAGTCCTATCTCAGGCCCTGCTTCTTCCTCATTGACACCTGGGACGACCTCTGCCTCCACACTGTTAGCTTCTCCTGGGCAGCTTGTTGAGAATGTACCCAGAGGCTCTGACTCTGTTACTGTGGGTGGGGCCTGGATACTTTATGTTTTTAAGTCCCAAGACTGAGGCGTGTGTGTCCAGGGTTCAGTTCTCTGACTCCATGGAGCCTGTGATGTGTGTTGATGATGCCCTGGAGCTGGTTCTCCAACAAGGCTATTCCTGAGCCCTTCCTAGAGGAGCTCAAAATGAGCCTGGATGCACCAGGCCCGAGGGGCTGGCCGGCTCAGATGAGGCCCCAGGCAGTGGAGTGTGTGTGCTGCGGGGGGGGCGGTTGGCAGAGGGGAGGGAAGAGGGCAGTGCCTCAGCTTCTCATCTGGGCGTTGATGGTGTGCCGTTAGAGTGGGATTGGCCTGGCTCCGCCATCAAGGCTGTAAACCAGGGGGGAGAAGATAGGGCTTGGGGGCCACTGAAGTCAGTACCAAGGTAGAGCCCAAGGATTGCTTCCCCCGAAGTGTCTGGCCATGGGGGCAGGGCAGAAGAGCCTCCAGGAGCAGGGTCTCCCCTCCAGCTTTCACAGAAGCCTTTCCTCCTGCACCTTTCCCTCTGACCCACCCACCTCCCCTTCTTCAAAAGCATGGCAGATACCACCTATGATAATTGAGATTTATAATAAGAAGCATGTGTTTGGTCTTTGTCCTGGTTCCTGGCACAGAGCTCCTAAAACCCTTGGAATTTCCTAAGTGATAAGCGCCACGAAGGTGGCTTGATACTCATAAGAAATCCTTTCAACCACACCTGGGTTTAAGTTAATGAAGTTTGGAAAACACCTAAGAATGGGGGCTGGCTGCCAGGGGAACCAGCCGTGTGATTAGCAGGTTGGAACTTTCCGCCCCACCTCTGACCTGCAGGGGGAATCAAGGGGCTGAAGATTGAGTTCAGTTATCAGTGGCCAATAATTTAGTCAATCAAGCCTGTGTCCTGAGCCCTATGTGGCTCTTCTGGGAGTTCTAGTGGCCTCAGGACACAGGTGATCTACTGAGTTAACTGGTTTCCTAAGTTCTGTGAGCCACTCTAGCAAATTAATTGAACCCAAGGAACCTCTGATTTCTAGTTCATGGGTCGGAAGCCCAGGTGACAAGCTGGACGTGACCCTGGCGTTTGGGGTGGGGGACAGTCTTTTGGGACTGAGCGCCTAGCCCGTGGGATCTGATGCTCCCTCCAGGTCGACAGTGTTCGGATTGAGTTTATGCTTGGTGGGCGTGGCAGAAAATGCACATTGGAAGTGGTGTCAGAATCCTACCATCTTTTCTGCTTAACACCAAAAGTGGTTCCCACAAACCCAGTTTATAACCCACGGGGGTTCACACTGCCCCATGGGTGAATCGAAACTGGTGTCGGGTCTGGCATTCTCCAGAGTTAGGCTGGTGCCGCCCCCTTCTCTGGTTTCCCCCACTCCTCCTGCTCAAGACCTGGCTCTGGCCCCCTGAGCATGTTCAGCACGTGCGTTCTGATGGTCTGGTCGCCAAGCCTTAGCTTCCTCTCCTGGCTTCAGTTCTCATTGGGCTGAATGAGCATGTTGGACTAGAATGATCTCTTTTAGAACAACTAATATAAGACGCTAAATTCTCAAGTTAGCCTGGGATACTCTTATTAAACACTCCTGGTCTGGAGAACTCCTACACATCTTTCAGGCCCAGGGGAAATGTCACAAGCCTTTCAGACCTTCCCAAGCAAAATTAGCCATTCCTGTTCTGTGCTCCCATAGGGCTTTACACACAGCTCTGCTTCAACCTGTGGCTAGCAGGCCCTGGCTGTTTTGGAATTTGGGACCCCTGGAGCCTCGGAATTCTTTGAACGCAAGGACTCTGGGCGGAACCATCACAGGAGCTCAGGAGTGGCCTGGCCCAGGGTGGCCAAATGAATGAATGAATGAATGTGTGAGTAAAAAAAATATGAATCCCTCAGTTCATCAAGTTTATTCTCTTTACCATCTGCAATCAGAGTGGTCAAGGTCAGGAGGAAGGGAGAGAGGCATCCATGGTATCCACAAAGGAGCTCTGGTTGCCCAGCTATCTTAGTCCCGGGCCCACAGCTGAGGGAGGGCAGTGGTGGGCACACCCCAGGGGGACCTTAGCCGCAGAGGTGGGTCCTATCCCCAGGCCACCCAGCGTTTGGTCCTCTGCCGTGCTGAGGGTGGGGATGTGGGGACAGGGCTGAGGGTTGAGGTTTGGGCAGAAGGAGCCTAACGAGCAAAGTTCTTCCGGAGTCTAGCTCAACTAGCAACTAGAGAGCGGGCTGTGCCCTGGACTCCTGGGACCCTGGGGGAAGGGGCTAGATCTGGCTTCTCTGGCCCGGAGAGTCTGTGCCTGGGACTAATTGGCTGGCCCTCCTTCCGCTGCTGGGGAAAGTCTTGGCTAATTTGCCGGAACGCTCTAGTTAAATGCCAATTAGGATGTTCTGTCCACTGCTCTCTTCCAATATATTAATAAAGTAATTAAGCATTTATTGCCTGCGCAAATTAAAATTTAACTTAAACGGACAGCTCGGAAAACTGAGGAAGTGACCACTTAAACAACCAATTTGCATCTCATTCGAGAATCAGCATCTAAACAGTCTAGGGTGCTGGTCTGGCCTCCCAGCGAGGGGCCCAGCCAGCTACCAACAGCTGCTGGCTTCTTCTCCACGCCTGATTCCCCGATTCCGCCGGCCCCGGCCTCCCCACCCCACTGGATCCTAGGTGGGGAGGATGGGCTTCACCCCAGATGAGCAGGAGGGCTTTCTGCTAAGTGGCCACCTTGGCCTCCAGCATCCCTCCCCCCTTTCCTCAGGGGCATATGGTGTAGGTTTCAGTGAAAGGAGATGCTACTGGTGGTAATAGGGTGTGTGTGGGGGAAGCCCCTGCCACTCCCACCCACGACCGATTTGTCCTGCATTCCAGCTCAGGAGATGGGAAGCAGATGGTGCTGGAGTTTGGGGGTGGGGGGAGGTGACCAAGGAAGGAGGAGCCCTTCCCTGCAACCAGCCCCCTCCCCCCCCGAGAGATCACTGGGAGAGAGCTGGTAGGGGACAGGTCCTGGCCGTCTGCTTGAAACAGAAGATGAAAGGATCAAGCTCCCCATCTCGCCCCTGTCCCCAGTGTGTCTGACACAACAGGTGTGACACTGCTCGTTTTCCCCTCCAAACAACCGCAGGAGGGGACTCGGCAGGAAGGAGCGGGACAGCAGGGAGTGGGTGAGAAGGGGGAAATGGAAGCAGCCTGAGCTGTGCTCCGCAGCTGCGGGGCAGGAAGGCAGGGGCTCGGGCCAGCTGGCGGGGGCAGGGGGCTGCCCCAGCCAGCGTCCCCAAGGCCTCCCCGCCCGTGCCCGCCGCTGCTGCCCACCGTGTTCCTGTGCGTGGGCGAGGCTTCGGGGCAGCTTGTGAGCTGGGGTGAGGTCTCAGGCAGGCCCCTCGCCCCGGGGCCGGGCTCCTGCAGGGCTCTCCGTCCTCGCTGTCCCGGAGCCACCCCGGGTGGGGGGGGGGCGCCGGCTGGAGGCTCCTTGCCCTTCCCCACTGTGCCGGCCGGTCTCCAGCCTGACCCTGTACCCATGCCCACGGCGTGGCCACCGCCGGGAGGCGAGGAGTGAGCCGCACAGGCAGCCAGGGTTGTTTTAAACACTTTATTTATAAAAAAGTACATTTTTTTTCCTCAGTACATTTTTCAACCCATCATTTTTTTTTATACAAGTAAAAGGGGGTGATGCAAACACCCCCCGGGTCAGAACCAGGAGAACCTGCTGGGCCGTCCCCGGGACCAAAGACGAAACCGTGACGAAGAAACCGAAGGCAAGGTAGCGTGGCGCACTCAGAGGTGAGGGGCGGCAGCTTCTCCTGGATTTTGTTACCGTTTTATACAAAGAGAGGAAACCACTGTTTTCCAGCCCAGAATCCTGTTCCTCACAGCAGGAGTCAGAAGAGCAGCAGCACCTGGAGCAGGGGTGCCTCTGGCCTTCCAGTGGGACAGTAGCAGCGAGAGGCCCCAGGGGCCCTCTCAGGGCCTGCTCCCCCGGGCACCTGAGGCCAGAGCAGGGCTCTCTGTGGGCGTGGAGGCCTGGGAGGGTCCCGCCTGCTCCTTGGTGGGCGCGGGCTCCTGGTGGAGAGGTCCGTCTGGGGCCCCGGAGGCCTGCGCGCACCCTCCTCCTCCCGGGCTTCATCCACCTAACACGGTTCCCGATTCCTCTGCTTGGAGGATGGCAGAAAAAATTATTGCACCAGTGGCTTGGGCACGTGGGAGGGGGCTGGCAGAGGGGGCACACGCCCGGGGAAACGAGGCCCCCCGTGAGTCTCTCTACTGGCCTGAGCACTGGGAATTCACCTCTCCCCGCAGGGCTTTCAGCAGGACCAGCCCAGCCCCCTGCCGAGGCTGCGTGTGCACACCTGCGCGTGCGCCGGGGCATCTGTGCTTGGGTCTGTTGGAGGGGCGTGTGCCCTGCGAGCGCGTGGACTGGGCCTGCCGTGGCTGCGTGTCCCTGCTCGTGGTCACCGATCCCACGCTGCTGCTTTTCAGCTCCTTCTGATGGAAGGGGACTCAGACGGTTTGTTTACACGTGAGAACAATATCAAAATCTTAAAGAAATGGGGGGGGGTCAGGGGAGGGGGGCAAGAACAGGGAGGGTAACAAGAGGCAGGGTGACAACTGGGGGATGCCTTGGCACAAGGAATACCAAGTTTATTTCATTTCCAGCAAAGGCAGAAGCTCAGCTCAGGCTGGGGGCATGAAGGAGAAGCGGAACGTCCTCATCTACTCTGTTGGGCCAGACCTCCCCTTTGCCAGTGGGCTACGGGGGGGCCCAGCAGCAGGGCCCACCTTCCCGCAGACTTGGGGCATGGAAAACCCCACCTTCCCAGGCCTGAGTGCGGACCCCTGCCTGCCTCATGCCTACCTTCGGCCCCCGACTAGCAACTGCCCCGCTGGGTGTGCTGCAGGGTTCTCGGACAGGCAGGAGCCTCCCACATGGCCCATGCATGTGGCATGGGTCCCGGTTTGTGCTTTGCTTGGGGGAAGGGTATGGAGGTGTCTTAAGGGGGACTCAGTGCTTTGGCTGGGCCCAGGGGCCCTCCTAAGTACATCATATAATGAGGAATAGGGGTTGGCAGTGTAGGATAAGGGGGACACGGGAGGAAGAGTTCTTTCAGTTTCATGGTTTCAAGAAGACAGAGAATGCCTCTGTCAGGTAGGCCCCTGGGATTTCCTCCTGCCTGGGGGCCAGGAGACCAAACAGAAGGGCCAGAGTGCTGTGAGGTGGGATGGGGCAGTGATGTAACATGGAAAAGGTCCTCTGCCCTGGGGGGACACTAATACTGCTAGGAGAAGCAGCCCAGCTCCTCTGCCCCCCTCTGCCCTGTGGCTAGAAAGACCCCAGAATGTTCTTCCCCAACTCCACCCCATCCAGCATCCACAATACCAAGAGAGGAGAGCTGCCCCAGGGCTGGCATGGCTTCAGACTTCTGCTACGTGGCTACTGGGCAGCCAGGGCTGGGGCGAGGGCAGTGGGGGCTGGGTGAGGATGGCCCAGCTGGTGGGCCCAGGGTCGCCAGGGCAGAGACAGTGCTGGCTGGGGGTTCAATAGCAGCACCAGGGAGGGGAGGGGGGGTGGCTGGGGGCTGGGGCTCCCTTGGGAAGCCTATGGCAGGTCGGTCGGTGCCCGTGGGGCACAGAGTGGTCTGCTTCCCTTCCCCCCCCAACACTTGCCATCCCACAGAGCCCCTGACAGCCTGGGCTGAGTTAACTGGAACCCTAATGGGCAGGCATGAGCCTGCCTCTCCCATCCCAGGGTCTTTCCTATGTAGAGTGCTGGGGGGACCAGGGTGGGCAGATGGAGGAACTGAGGCACTTTGAGCTGGGGGGAACGGAGAGGGCTGGGAGGGGCCTTTCCCCCACTGTACAGACAGGAAGCCCTCGTCCTGGGTGACTGATGGGAATCCAGAGCCCCATTCAAGGAGGGAATCTGTAACTCAAAGGGAAAGCTTTCCCAAGGATCCCCCACTCCCTCCGCCTCCCAGAATGGAGACCAGGTGTAGCTGAGCCAGGAGTGGAGAGTGGTGAGCAAGAGCTTCTGAATCAGGATTCTTGGCTACCCCACTGCCCCTGTACTTCCTGGCAAGCCCAGAACATCTGCATTGGCCTTGGGGGGTGGGGTACCAGCTGCACTCTTCAGCATCTGTTTGCAAAACTTCTACCGTAGACTCCCTTCCCCATTGCTCTCCATGGTGGTACTCGGTCACCTCTGACACCTGGACATCCTAGGGACCCCAGCCCTGACTCCCCAGGAGAATCGAGCTAGCACTTGACAGATAAGGGAGAAGTCTGAGAAACTCCCCTGCCGAAAGCAGCATTTTAGGGCCAGCCTGAGCTCCTAGGATAGAGGCTCCAGGGGGCCCTGGTCTCAGCTGTCCCCGGAAACTTCTGAAGGTGTCCCCATCCTCAGCTGGGAGGGGAAGAGGTGGAACAGAGGGGTGGGCCCCGGCGGTGTCCAGCCTGCAAGGGCATGTGACCCCAGGGGAACGAGGGGTGGACATGAGCGGTGAGTGTTCATGTAGGTGTCTGCATCATGTGTTGGTAGAGGCGTATGGGAAGCGTGGGCCAGAGTCCACCCGGAGCCCCGCTGTGTGGGGAGCAGATAGGGGTCAAGAGGAGAGAGACACCAGAGCTGGGCCAACTTCACTCTCCATTGGCCAATGAGGAAAAAAAATGTAAAACCAACCTCACCGGGAAAACACACTGCCCTAGGCCCTGGGTGGGGACCTCAACTCGATTCACGTAACAAGACTACCCTGGGTGCTTTGGAGAAGCATCTCCCTGCCTCTCGGGTGCAATGGCTGTCTAGACCAGGGGTCCGAGCTCCCCGCTGCTTGTGGCAGGGAGGACTGGGCTCCCTCTCCCTGGGAAAAGAGGAGCAGCATCTGGGGGTGGGGTGGGGCTTCTCCCCCGGGAGCCCGCTCAGCCCTCCACCCGCAGTGGAAAGGACACAAACAGATTCCAGTGTTGGGAGGTGGGGGAGGGCTGGCTCCCCAAGCCCTGGAGGGGTACCCAGGTCCACAAGACGAGAACAGGGCTCCCCGCACAGAGGGCAGGCGGAGGGCCACAGGAGGAAAGGTGCAGCGACACCAAAGCCACAGTGAACACGACAGCATGGGGGAGGGCCGGGGCCGGGGAGGAGATCAACACCAAGCCAGGTCGCAGCTGCCCTGGGCTGCCCGCTCCCCAGGAGTGTGGGGCTGGCTTTGGGCGGCTGGGTGAGTCTCTGTGGAGCTCCTGGAGGAGTGGGCACGGGGACAGGCAGGGGGCGTGCGGGTGGGGGCTGGGGAGAAAGGGGCGCAGACAGAGGCTCTGGAGGGAGGCGGCTACACGTACCACTCCTTCTTGGAAATGAAAGACCCGTCGTTCTGAGAAACCATGTTCTCGGCCAAGTCCAGCTGCTCGGGGTCATACTGGTAGCCCAGAGTCCGGTCCCCGTAGCCGTCCTGACGGGCCTCCGCCTCATCCACGGTGAAGTAGGGCCGCTTGGCGTCCTCGTCGTATTTGGGGTGGGGGCCGCCCACCTTGCGCTCGCCCCCTCCGCCGCCCTCCTCCTCCTCCTCTTCCTCGTAGCTGCTCCCACCCAGGGGGCCGGGCTTCTTCTCATCGTCCGAGTCGTCCGGGTACTGCAGGTTCTGGGCCATGGGCGGGTGGTGCTGGGGGATGCCCGCCTTGCTGTAGCCGTTGCCGTACACGTGCTTCTTGGTGCTGTAGTCGCCCTTGAAGGTGTGTCGGCGTCGGCGCAGGGCCAGCACGATCCCTCCGACCACGATCACCACCAGCAGGATGCTCCCCGCCACGCCCCCAATGATGGCCGTGGGCACCGGCCCCGCGCGCCGCCCGTGTTCGGGAGGAGACGGGGTGTAGGGGAATTCTGGGGGAGGAAAAGACATGGAGGGGGACAGTGTCAGTGTCTGCTCCCGAGGGGGACTCGGCAGCGGTGGCAGGGACGGAGGGAGGGAGGGAGGCAGGGGATGGAACGGCCAGGAAGCGGGCCCAAGGCCCAAGGGCAGCTCCGGTTCCGCAGGCTCATCGGCGCCCCACCCTCCGGGGGCCCCCACCCCTCCAGGAGCCCAATGCACCACGGTGTTGTGGGTGGAGCGAGAGGAGAGGCAGAGAGTGCTGGAGCCCCAGAGCCTCCATGCTGGCTTTCTCCTTGGCTGTGGTGCCAGCCAGCCCACCCCCGACCCAATGTCCCCTAGCTGCCAGTCACCGTCCCGGCACCCCATGATTTCAGTGCGCTATTACTTTCCATTCAACGCAGACGGCGCGAGGCTTAGAGAGGTCGCACAACCTGCCTGAGGCCACCAGCCAATGAGGCAACATCGATCGGTTCTTTTGCAGGGAGAGCCTGTGGTAACCCTGTGCCGGACACCTGCGGGTCACTGGGTGCCCCACGTCTGATCTCACCTGCTCCCCCGGGCACAGGGAAGAGGACGGGCTCCCAGGCTGGTCCCAATGATGCCCCGGGAGTGCCAGAAACCAGGGCTGTGGTTCTTGGCTGCGGTCTGGCCCCGGAGGGCAAGGTGGGTGCCCAGGGCACTGGCAGCCTGGGCTAGGAGCGGAAGATGCTCGGCACGGCTGTGCAGGAGGGAGGCGCGAGCGCACGTGAGTACATGGCCACGGTGATGCGAACACACAGGGGAGCTCGTGCCGGGGCGCACCCTGGCCGTCGTGGCCAGCCCACATGCCTGTGCCGATGTGCTGAATGTTTGCGTGCAAACGTGCACCCCGATGACAGGGTGGAAACCAGGAGGCAGGAAAGGTGGAGGAAAGAGAAGGGAAGCGGGCGGGCGGGCGGGCTGGGTGAGGGAGCGCCTGCGCTCTGGTCGGTGCTGCCCCTACTCTCTCCTCACAGGGCCTTCCTTGCCAGAGGCCAGAGTGGGGGGAGGTGAGGCTGAGGGAGGCGGTTCCCAGCACCACCACAGGGTGGCACCGGAGACCACGGCTGGCCACGGTCGGGAGGTGCTGGTGGGCAGGTTCAGGGCGAGCCTGCGAGGGCTGCCCGGCTGTTCTAGGTGCTCTTCCCTCAGGCCCAGGTGAAGGTGTGGGGTTTGGGCATTTATCTTTCTGGTCTCTGGGAATCGGTTCCTGCCAGCTTGATCCCTTGAATGAGCATCACCCGCTCCAAGGGAGTTCTGCTCCTCCTGTGAGCCCGTTCCCTCCTCCCAAGTGGAAGCCAGCCCCTGTGTGGGAGTGGGTGGGGTGCTGCCCGCAGCAGGCAGGAGCAGGGCAGAGGCTCGAGAAGAGGAAAGGACTCCTGGGAGTCCAGGCTGGACGGGCTAATGAAAACACAGAGGCCCAGAGAAGGGGAGGCGATGTGCCCGCAGTCACATGGCTGAGCAGGGACCACCCAGATGCTCCTGTTCCTGGCCTCTCCACATGCAGGAAGGAGTTAGCAGGGAGGAGCACAGCCACTTGTCACCACTGTGCCCTCAGGGCAGGTCACCGAGTGACTGCCCAATAAATATTTACTGAGTATTTGTCCTCACCGCCTGCTTCCAGAACAGTTTCCCTGGAACCTCAAGCTTCTCCTGCTTCACCAGGTCCCATCTGTTCATTGCCTTTAAAAGGGCCGCACACCTGCTCGCCACGAAGTGGGAGCTGCCTCCACAAGGCGTGCCCCAAAGGCAGCTATCAGGAACCTAGCCTCCTCTGTACTTTCACCCTGCCTGCTACCTCCTCAGTTCTCACTCTAGATCTGAGTGCTCTCTCTTCTCTAACCTGCCTCTCACTTCACCCATCCACCCACCCATCTACCGATCTATCCATCCACCAATCCATCCATCCACCATCCATCTACCTATCCACCATCCACCCACTCACCCACCTACCCATCCACCCACCCATCCCTCCACCTATCTATCCATCCATCCACCTATCCACCCATTTACCCATCCAGCCACCTACCCAATTAACAAACATTTATGGAGCATCTATTTTGCTAGTCACAGGATACAAGAAACTCACAGCCTATCTAGGGAACCAAATGACACCCTTAGGGACAAAGCCGCATGCAGACAATCAAGGGCACTGGCAGAGAAGTGCCTCAGGAGTGCAGGGGAGGGAGAACACTGTGGCCTGGAGTTAGCAAAGGCTTCTTGGAAAAGAATTCTTGAAGAATGGCGAGGACTTGGAGAGGCCAAGAGAGTAAGAAAGGCATCCACATGGAGGGACCTACCTTTCCTTTCAAATCTTTCCATCAAATCTTGTTGACTCTTCCTATTCAATATTTTATCACTTCATGCCAGGTTTTACGGTAGTAGAGTCCTGAATCTCCTACCTCCATTTGGTCTCTGTCCCCTTTTAGTCACTCTGTCCAGAGTCACCAGGTTAATTTCCACTGTGTAGACACTACCATTCCCTTTCTCGAAGAGTAGCAGCGATGTCCCCAGTGCCCGCTGGACCGTGCCAGTCTGGGCTCCAGAACTCCCATCATGCCACTTGATCTTGGCTTTGGCTAGCTCGCCATCCTCGCTGTCCACGTTGATTCTTTACTGCAAGCCTTTGCTGGTGCTGTTGGCCCTTCCAGGAATGCCCTTCCTCATTCCCTTGTGCCCATTTCTGTTCTTTCAAGTTTTCAAATGGCTACAATTCTCCTTTTTTTTTTTTTTTTTGTAGGAACGAGGAGAGGGGAAGTGGCAGCCTCACGATAATCTGGGACTGTTTCTATTCAGGTGTGTTACAGTTGTGTGCAGTCTAAGTTCCGTTATATTTATTTTTATGCTTTCTGTGACAGCAGAGACCCAATGAAAAAATAAAGCTCTCCAACATTTTACTGGACTAGACCGAATTTTTTGGGCCCCACTAATCACAGTATGGTAGAGTTTGCTGTATTACCTGTTTCATGAGAGCGACTTAGGTCCCAAATTAGTCTGTAAATCGAATTCAGAGTAAATCTAGAACCTGACCACTTTCTACCGTTGCTCTGTCCCTAATCCAAGCCACCATCACCTGTCACCTGCATTAATTTTTTTAAAGATTTTGTTTATTTGAGAGAGAGAGAGAAAGAGAGAAAGATTGAGAGAACGTGTGGGAGGAGGGGCAGAGGGAGAAGCAGACTCCCCGCTGAGCAGGGAGCCCGATGCGGGGCTCGATCCCAGGACCCTGGGATCATGACCTGAGCAGAAGGCAGACGCTTAACGACTGAGCCGCCCAGGCGCCCGTCACCTGCATTATTGCAACAGCTGTCTAACTGGCTTCCCTGATTCTACATTTTCCTTCTAGAGATGATTTTGAACACAACAGCCACAGAGAGCCTGTTAAATCTAGAGTTTAAAATCGCCTACGTGACCTGTGCCTCTGCTCCCCACCTCTGATACCATCCCTTGCTTTCCTCCTGGTTCATTCTTCTCCAGGCTTCCTCAGGCCGCCCTGCACTCCGGCAGACTCTTCCCCTAGGTGTCCCATGGCCACCCCCTCACCTCTGTCAAGGCCTGGCTCAAGCTTCTCACCGAGATCCCCTTCTCGCCAAGGCCTTCCTTCCCTGATTGCCCTATTTCAAAGCGCGGCTCACGAACCCCGCCCCAGCCCTTGTGACCCCTTGATCCTGCTCTTCTTTGCTCCATGTCACTTTCAAAATGACCACGTGATTCTTCTGATGTATTTCCTCTGTCGTCTGCTGTGTGTCCTTCTGTACTAAAACCCTCACTCCAGAGGGACAGGGGCTTTGGCTCATTGATGCATTCCCAAGCACCTCGCCTGCCTGGCAGGTGGCCAGAGTTCAGGAATATTTGTTGAATGACTCCTGTCAAGGCGAGTGTCTTTCCCCTCTAGGTCCTTGTGTTTCACTTTCTTCCCCCCAAGCCCGAAGGAGGTTTACTCTTCCCTGGGGACCTTGGTTATTTTAGCTGCTCTGTGTCCAGGTCTGCCTAGAGGTAGAGGATGGCGGACTTCAGAGTGCGGACGCCGGGTGAGGGGAACCCTGGTTATT